ACACACACAGTTGTTCTGCCGCTCATCTTCGAAGATATGGACAGATGGACACTAAGGTATGTATTCCCAGTGTGGTCCTGGTCCACTACCTGTTACTTGGCCCAGACAAGATAAGAAGCTTAGCCAGAAGATGAAACACCCCCATCAAGCCCGTTATGTAGTTTAGACAATTTTTAATAGCTAGGTTTCTAAACAAGGGAGGCAGCTACATAGACCCACATTCTGGAGAAAGTTTCTTATCAAGGACAAGCTGATGGCAGCCCGGCACTCTGAGCAGCGCAGGTGCACAGCGCAGGCGATCCTTCTAATTCTCACAGTGCGCGTCCTCCTAGCTCTGTTCCTGCGTGTGAGGTCGCCTGCAGAGGAGAAATGGCAACAGGAGCCTTTGGAGGTGTTTTCCTTCCGAACAAAAAATCAACCCAAGACCAAGCATTCGGAGGAATTAGAGGGTGAGCCCGAAACAGTGTCCTATGCTCCGCCTCCTGTTTAACGGGTGTCTGTTTGACTTCTCAGGGAAAGCGTCTGAGCTGGGCACCCTGAGTGCTCCTGCACAAAGTCACACACGTGGCTCTGTTTACTGAGTGAGCTGAGGAGGCGGTGATGGGTGGCACTGTCCAGTGTGTGAGTGGTCCATGCTCATGCGGAAGACCAACGATAAACCGTAAAGCTAGTGATTTCCAAAAGCCATGTCCAAGGCATTCCCTGTGGTAATCTGGAGCACCAGGGCTGGCGCAGAGCTACACTGCAAGACTCGGGGTCTCTGTGAGACACGGTAATCAGCCTCTGCTCCCAGAGCCGTGTGGACACCCAAAGTTTCCCCAGATGGCGTCTTGATGCTTTCAACTTTTTTTTTTTTTTTTTTTTTTTCATATTCCCAGCAGGACCCATATCCTGCCTGGAGTGGTTGGAGAAAGATTTGTGTTTCTGATCCAGGAGGATCTACTTTCCCTCCAGATGAGGAGTGCTGCAAGTCAGCTGGAGCTGCGTTGTTAGATAGTGTAACACATGACAATTCACCAAACAAAACCAAAACTCAGAGGGAGGAGGGCGGGGGACAGCTGTCAGAGCATCAACAATAAAACTTTAAAAAACTCAGACTCGTGGAGAGGCAGAAGAACGAAGCCAAGAGAAGTACAATAAAAATAAAGCATGCCAATCAGAGACACCTCGCCCGCATCTCGCCCGCACCGGGCCCTCCCCAACCCCCCCCCCAACCTTCCCCCCCCCCCCCCCCCCCGCCCCGGGACTCCTTTCTATAGAGACCACTCTCTGTTCCACAAAGGAAGCCAAGCGTTGCTAGGAGACAGCCCAGATTCTCAGGACACAAGCTCAGGGGAGCGGCTGCTTCCCGCCACGAGGTATAGAAGTCTGCAGCTATTCCTGTCGTCCGTGCTGCGGTTACACAACCCACACGCTCGGCACATCTATTCCCCAGCGTGCTCAGGAGTGGTCCGCCCTGACGCCCTTACATCTGACACCACTGGGACCCCAAAACTCTTTTCCCCAACCGGCCTTGCGGGGTTTTTTTTTTTTCCTTTTCTTGCAGGTCTTCTCCAAATGCAGCAGCATCTCCCCTGTCTTCCTCTCACAATGCCCCAGAAAGCGTGCATGTGTTCGCGTTACCAGTGACTCCTTGGAAGGATCCTTCCTATCATGAGGAGTCCTGGTCAACTTTCCAAAGTTTCCCCATGGACTTGGAGTGACTGTTTGCAAAGTAGCTTTTGCTTTGTCTTTTTTTTTTTTTTTTCAAACAACTTAGCCGTTTTCTCATCTATTGAAGCTGCCCCAAGCACTCCCCCTGAAGGAGCAATTGCCAAGGTAGCCCACTCACCCCTCGCTCTGCCTTTGAAAGCAACTGGCATACCCTCTCTGCCCTTTCTCGTCTTCCTGTACAGCTCAGGTAGGAATGACTGCTGGGAGGAGAAAGCCTCACAAATCATCACTAAACAAAGAGAGGAAGACTTTCGAGCAGATACCAAGAACTCTGTGGCACCAGCCCATGCTTTTTCTAATGTCCTTTACATCATCCTTAGCTTGTGTTCCTCTTGATGGATGCCGTATGGCTGCCACATGGAGACAACTTAAGATATGACATCTTGCCCTGGCTGGCGTGGCTTAGTTTGTTGAGCGCCGTCCTGTGCACCAATGGTTGCTGGTTCGATTCCCGGTCAGGACACATGCCTGGGTTTTGAGCTCGCACCCAGTTGGGGGCATGCAGGAGGCAGCAGATGGATGATTCTCTCTCATCAGTGTTTCTATCTCTCTATCCCTCTCCCTTCCCCTCTCTCTTAAATCAATAAAAGCATATTTAAAAATAAAAAAGAGATGTATGTCCTAATTCTACTTCCTGAGCTCAATCTTAGATTAATTCCAGATTTAAAACTTTGACTCTATTTCAACCTCTAGGAAATTATACATAAGAACACAAAGACTTTGTGGCTTTGGTCACTCAGAGATGAAATGAATTCTTTAGTTCCTTCTCCAATTAATCTAGAAACATAACAAGTGGGGTGGGGAAACACAAAGGAAGGGGGAGAAAGCCTGGAGTAACAGGAGTCAACGTCTTAAGTTATTCTAGCATCTCACAGATTCATTCACACCCACGAAAAACCATCCCATATAAAAAAAAAAAACAAAAAAAACTGATTAGGTCCCAACGAAATCTATAATAATAAATGTGTAATATGCAAATGGACCAAACGTCTGAACAACAGACAACCGTCCAGACGGCCAGGCTATGACATCCACTGGTGCCAGACCAGCACGGTGGGTGCAATGCGATTGGTCGGGGGCCCAGCAGTCGCCCTATGATCGCCCTGCAGAGGGAGGCCCAGGCCACCGACCAGTGGGCTGTGGTGGGTGGGTGGGGTCTCTCTCTTTGAGGGCAATCCATCATGAAGCTCCTGGACTGTGAGAGGACACAGACTGGGCTGAGTGACTCCTTCTTCCATCCGAGTGTACAAATTTCATGCACCGGGCCTCTAGTATCACATAAAAAGCCCCTAAGAAAACATAGTCTGCTCTTTGTAGTCTCATATCAAGCACTGTGAAATCTAAAATCAGAGGGAAGGAAAAAGCATTATGAGAAAAGTAAAAAAAAAAAAAAAAAAAATTTATAAAATCCAAAAGGGTAAATTTACTAAAAGCCAAAAGAGTTACTGCCAAAAAGTAAAATATTTTGTGGACCTAATAGGTACCATAAATGAAAATATAGTGTTTACATCATGGAACTGCCTCACTTGGAAAGTGTATTTAAATGCACTTGGGGAAGATGCTGGGCACTGAAGACCTCCCCCCTGCTGTTGTCATAAGAGAGAGAAAAATGCATTGATAATTTTGTCGTTTTCGATTTCTTGCTATCCAGCATGATTAAACATTTAGAGGTACAAAAGTAAATACAAATGAATTCATTTAAAATGCCTGGTTCCGGACAAACATAAAGCCCAGTGGCCTGAGCACGAACACAGTTTCAACAAGGATGTTTGTCACTTTGCCTCGAACGAGGTTTCCCCGCAGAGGCCCTGCTGACACTTGGGGACCGGTAAGTCTTTGCTGCAAGGGGCTGTCCTCTGCATCTGAGGAGACTGGGCCGCATCCCTGGTCTTCCATCTCCCCCACCAGCTGTACCCACTGCAAACCGGTCCAGACATCGCCCACTGTCCTCCAGGAGCAAAACCACCCCTGGCCAAGAAGCACAGCCACAAACGTCCTCCCCTCCTAATTTAGTTATTACAAACCCCCCCCAAAAAAAAAATGCTTGGTTTATAATCTATGTGGAAAGCAACGATGTCTTCCTAATAAAATAACTAATGTTAATTTTTATTTTTATCCCCTTCATTCCATGAACACGTTCCTCAACGTTTGGGAATGTTAGATTTCATTGTCAAGCTTGGTTTAGATTTCCTGTCTGGCTGGGGAGAAGATATTGACCTTTGCTTTCCAATAAGCACACTTTACATTTTCTGGGACACATTATTCACCACTCACCTCCCTCTGAATACAAATTAGCTGACGAGGGTGGGGACACATTTATGAAAACAAAGAGGAACCTGTTTCTAACCCATATATTGGAAGAGTAGACACTCCCTTCACCTAATTGATCAGGGACACATCAAAGAATTCTGAGGTAATGCTGCAGACTGCACATTGTTCTTTATGAAGCGCAACCTTCAAAAAAACACAGAGCAGCCCCAGCCCGTTTGGCTCAGTGGATAGAGCGTTGGCCTGAGGACTGAAAGGTCCCAGGTTCCATTCCAGCCAAGAGCACATGCCTGGGTTGTGGGCTTGATCCCCAGTAGGGGGTGTGCAGGAGGCAACAGGTCAATGGTTCTCTCCCATCACTGATGTTTCTATCTCTCTCTCCCTCTTCCTTCCTCTCTGAAATCAATAAATATATTTTTTTAAAAGAAAGAAAACACAGAGCCGTTTTTCAGGTTGTCTTCTCCGCCTGTTTAAAAATACCCATAAATTGCCGAAACCGGTTTGGCTCAATGGATAGCTCGTCGGCCTGCGGACTGAAAGGTCCCAGGTTCGATTCCGGTCAAGGGCATGTACCTTGGTTGCGGGCACATCCTCAGTAGGGGGTGTGCAAGAGGCAGCTGATCGATGAATCTCTCTCATCGATGTTTCTAACGCTCTATCCCTCTCTCTTCCTCTCTATAAAAAAAAATCAATAAAATATATATATATTTTTTTTAAATACCCATAAATACCAATGGCCACCTCTTTCCAAAGTGAAGCTATGCTCAAGGGTGACATGAAGAGTTAAAAGGAAAAAAAACTGTACAATCTGCAGATTGGGGGATTTAATGAGGAGAGAGAGGTGACCACAGAATTCCTGCGAACGAAGGTATTTCCACTGCTGTCTCTCCTGCTCCCGAGCGGGAAGACAGACCGGCTGGCCCGGCTGTCCTGAAGGATCTCCCTGATGCGTGGTTGGCAGGAGAAAACACAGAAAAGCCCGGCGCCGCCGCCGCCGCCGCCGCCGCCGCGTGACTCACCGATGTGGTACAGCCCGATCCAGTCGCTGGGGTCCACCTCCTCCTTGATGTCCCAGAAGAGGACGAGGTTCTGGGCGCGGCCCAGCGTGTACTCGTACATGCTGGCCGTGAGGCTGGAGCGGCTCTCCGAGGTCACCAGGTCGGTGTCGCTGTTGGCCCGCTGCAGGGCCATGTTCTCGGGCCTGGCGCCCTGGGCCAGGCTCTGCAGGTTCTCGGGGCTCAGCGTGTAGCGCATCTGGGGGCTCCGCCGCCGCACGAACAGCAGGTGCTCCCTGGCCGAGCCGGCCATGCCGCCCGCCGCGCCGAGGGTGGCTTCCTGCACAGCTGGGAACAGGCAAGCACACAGCGTCAGGGCCCGGCCCAGGGACCGACCGGGGCTGAGCTCACCGCCAGAAAGCCTCGGGGAGGGCCTGGCTCTGCACTAATCCCCCCGCTGCCAGAACTAAGCCCGGGCTCCACCGTCAGAGGGTGGCGTCAGACACCGCTGAGGTCAGGGGGTGGCTGGCGAGGCCCTGGGCCCAGCTCCTCCCAGCAGGTCAGGAGGCACGGTTTCCCGGCCATCCCTGTGGGTGTGTCCTTTCTCGCTCAGAAACAGCATCCTCTCCTCTCCTCTCCACCCCATTCCCCATCACATCAGTATTTGCTGCTGCTATTACATTTCAAAATAGCAGAACGGCCGAAACCGGTTTGGCTCAGTGGATAGAGCGACGGCCTGCGGACTGAAAGGTCCCAGGTTCGATTCCGGTCAAGGGCATGTAAGGGGTGTGCAAGAGGCAACTGATTGATGATTCTCACTCATCGGTGTTCCTAACTCCCTATCCCTCTCCCTTTCTCTCTGTAAAAAAAAATCAGTAAAATATATTTTTTTAAAAAATAGGATAGGAAAACGTGGCACTTTCGGGACGGGTGAAACAGACCACTGAGGCCAAGTTCACTGGCTCCGTGTCCTCCGCGTGGGAATGTAACTCACTCAAGACTTTTTCAGGAGCCCCGCCCGTCACCACAGAGTTAAAACTACGGCACCCAGCACACACACACACACACACACACACACACACACACACACACGGCACTCACTCTTTCTAAGCCATTCGCAAGTATTTACAAGCTATGTATCTGTTTATTTAATTAATCTCTATTGTCGTAAGTTTTACAAATGTTCCCCTTTCCACCCACCCCCCACCCTCCAATGGCCCTGGCCACCCCACACCCGCCATTCCCAATCCCCACTGCATTGGTGTCTGTGTCCACGGGTGCTGCATACATGCTTGTAAGTTCTTTGGTTAATGTCTTCCCACCCATCCCCGCCCCCCTTCCCTCTGAGCTTCCATGTCTCCGGGTCTGTTTCATCTCACTTATATGCGGAGCCTAATGAACAAAACAGACAAACAAAAGAGATCCCTACACAAGTTATTGGTGAGTCCTGAGCTTATCAGTCAATCGGTTCACATATTTGCATCCCACCCTGCCTGGACAGATCCGCCTCCTGAATGGAGGTAACGGGATGGGCCATGCAAGACCATTGTGAGGAGAGAGAAATCGTGAGCGAGTGTTCAGTGAAGAGCCACTGTTTGCTCAGAGGGAGTGAAGTCAGTACCACCACCATAACTATGGGCAGTGGCACGGTCACTGGACTTCCTGTGACCGCTATGTAAGGTGTATAAATGCTGAGTCGCTATGTGAGACGCCTGAAGCTAATACTGTATGCCTATTATATTCCTCTAAAGTTTTTTTTTTTAAACCAACGACTGTTGTTTTAATAGGAAGATATTATAATCCCCGAATTAATACCTTATTTAGTTTAGAGTAGCTCTCTCTGGCCCAGAGTCTGAGAAGAATAACACTAGGTCTTGAAAAACAGAGAACAGACATTATATGCTAAAGACACCCCCATAAATTTAATTTTTTTAAAAGGAAGCAATTTTTTAAAAAAAGGCCGTCTTTACACACAAAACATCACTATCAGCTCTCTCTTGTGCTGGCTGACCCAGGCTTCAGGAGAAGGAGGAGAGCAGTCCACCCTCGCCGAGCCACCCTTGTCCCCGGGGCTTCTGGCTCCGGAACTCAGGCACCCCCTACGGCAGGACCCGGTGCCTCTGAGTTACAGCTCGTGACCACCCCAGCGATGACAAGCGGTTTCCACCCAAACACGCCATTCCGACTTCCAAACAGCCCACTCGTCCAAGAATCTCCGAGCCCACCTCTCCCACACTGGGGACGCCCGCCCGTGGTGAAGTGCGAGGTTAGGGAGAGAAGGTGGGGGGAGGGTCTGCAGCACAGAACGGGGAGGCGGTCAGTGGGAACCTCACCAAGAGTAATGGGCAGAGACTCCCCCCACCACCACCAGGGTCTTGGGCAGAGGAGTCCACTAGGAAGCTTACGCCTGGGAAACTGGATCTGAGCACATAGTAGGGCTGATGGTCAGAAGAGGAACGCAGAGGTGGGGAGCAAATTAGCAGCTAATTGGTTCATTAAGGCATTCGGCACTGAATGCTGAAGAATGGACGTTTTAGCTACACAGAAAGGTAATATAGCAATCAGGAATATTAAGGGGGGGGAGGAGAGAGTGCAAGAGCGCGCGCAGATGGAATACAGGGGGTAAAAGTGAAAAAGAAATTAGGACTAAATCCCATCTAAGTGACGACAGAATCCCAGAGACGCTGGTAAGGCTGAGAAGAGGTAAGACCACGTTGGGTGAGTTTGCAGTCAATGCAACACATCCCAGTAACGATGTCCCCAGAATCCCGGGGGGGGGGGGGGGGGGGGATGGGAGTCATGTGTGCCTGGTTAATCGGAGGCCAGGGATGACACAATATTCAAACGTAAGTTTCTGCTTTGTAACGGCCCCAGCCTTCACTAATAAAATGGGTCCTGCCCATACTCTCTAAAAGGCTTCTTAGGTCAGTGTTCAAAAACCTCATTCGGATGTTTTCCTTTACACAGCTTAGATCAACAGAAAATAAACAGAATCAGAATGCTTAGACTACAGTGAGCAGCTATTACCAAACCTGCTTTGGGAAATTTCATTTCTCCCTTATAGGAAAAGTAATGCCCAACACCATGCAGAAGTGAATTTGCCAAGTCTCATAAAAAGTGAAAAGAAAAAAAAAAAAATCAAACCACTCTAAATGTTATAGTTAAAACTTGTAGCCTAGAACTACCTTAACCAATGCAATGTTCACATATGAAAAAACTAATGCTGCTCAAACAGCCAGCATGGCTGCTTTTTTTTTTTTTTTTTTTTTCTTTTCATTTTTTCCTACTGGAATCTAAACATTCCTGATTGCCTTCTTGGCTTCAGACCTATGCCTTCTGCAATAAGAAAGGCAAACTTTCTTCATGCTCTTCTGAAAAGCACAGAAGACAAGCCCCGCACTGAGGAAAACTGAGTGGTCCCCACCATATCTGCTAAAGGGAAAGCAGTTCCTTGAAGCTCTTAGATAACACCCACCTCCGTGGCACCCTCTGTGCTCTCTGGCCCCCCCAACGGACACAATTTCCCAGCAGGCAGCCCTCTCCAAACCCCCCTCTCCTAATGGCGATGAGGCCTGCGCTGCGCTGCTCCCCCAGCATGGACACCGGCCTCAACAACACGGAGCATGAACCTCTTCTTCCCGAGGCCAAGACAGACGCGACCACTAAGCAAACTGCAAAGCACCTGAGTAAACAACTCCGTGTCCGAAGCAGCAGCTTCTGTTTAGAAGACACGGACAGGAGCAGATGACATAGACACGAACCAAGTGTTTTCACTTAAAATACTTTCGCTAAAGCATTTGGAGGTCAAGGTCCATTCACTAAACCTCCCCTAACGGATCCAGTGATTTTTACAGACTTAGAAACGCACCCCAGGATCTTAGCCTACACTGAACATTGATAAATAAAGCCAACAATAATAATTAACATCCTGTTTCACCCTTCAAATTCCAAATTCACCACACACACACCCCTGTTCAACTACACTTTACTTCAAACTCCATGTGTGTTTCACCAAATATCTGAGAGAAAAAAAGGGGGGAAACTATTTTGGTGTGAAAGGACACGAAAGACCATGAGCCTGCAGAAGGGAGGGAGGGGAGAGACCTAGGAAAACGGAGACCCATCAATGCCAGCTGGCACCTGAAACAAAGAAATCATCCCCACACTGTCAGCCACAGGCCCTCCGCAGTGGCTTCCACGGTGTCCACTGCTCAGGGAAAGCAGTCATTGCTCCGTGTGTGTCACCCAGAACCGTATCCCGGGCTCAGCTTGCCCGGGAGAGGGTGCTGGTAAAGCCCTCAGAGAAAAGGCTCTTCTGAGTGAAATAAGCCAGTCAATGAAAGAGAAACACCACATGACCTCACTCATTTATGGATAATAAAGAACATTATAAACTGATGAACCAAAAGATAGATATAGAGACAAGAAAGCAACAAGCAGACTACAGCGGGGAGGGTAGGGAGATCTGGAGGAGATAAGAGATCAACCGAATGACTTGTATACATGCATATAAGTACAACCAATGGACACAAAACTCTGGGGAGAGAGGGCATGTATGGGGGGGGGGAGGCAATGGTAAGATATGTACACAGATAATAATTTAATTAAAAAAATAAATAAATAATAAAAAAATAAAAAATAAAAAAAGGCTCTTCTCCCCGAAATTTGATCAGATGATGCCTGATGATCCGCAGCAATTCCACAGACACCGAGGGCGGCGGGCAGGAAGCAGTGCCTCAAAAAAGAGTGAGCTGTTCCTAGAAGAGGAAATGAACGCTGCAGAAAAATAAAGGAAAACAAAAAGAAAAGAAAAAAAAAAAAACACTAACAAAATGTCAGTGCCTTAAATAAGAATACAGGGTGGGCGAAAGGAGATCAACCAAAGGACTTGGGTGCATGCATGTAAGCCTAACCAATGGACACGAACACCAGGTGGTGAGGGCATGAGTGGGGAGGATGGGGTTGGGGGGTTAATGGAAGGATGAGGACACATATGTAATACCTTAATCAACAAAGAAATTTAAAAAAAAAGAATACAGGATAAGGAGGAGGGTAGGTAGATAGGGGCAGGGAGGGAAGGGGAAGAAATCGGAGATATCAGTAATGCTACCAATAATAAAAATATATAGGATAGCGCATGTGGGAAAAACAAAGGCATCATCTTACTCATTTATCCCCATAGTGGAGGACAGATTGTCAGGAGTCCCTTAATGGAAGGACCATCATTGGCATGGACACCAGTTTTTTAAAACATCGATCTCTACTTTTTAAATGCTATTAAAACAGGAAGAGCAAAACTTCATCTCAAGAATCATTTGTAAACATCATGTCACATTAGGAAAATGGAA